CCTTTGTTGCATTTTATTGACTATTTCTATGGCAGTCAGACAGCCAAGAAATAAACGCGTTCCTTGCCATACGTCTGTTTCCTTTTATTCGCTTTGCTGTGGCTTGAATAATTATTATTATGTCAAATGGCAGGCTTTTTGATGGTTATCATGAGCCCTTTAGTTGACTTCAGGATTCACAGAGGGAAGGAACATCAAAGTGAAAAAATAGTCAAGAGGGCGGAGGGGGGGGGAACAGAAGAGTATTTCAAAGATGTAGAAGAGACAGACACAATGGTAGAAAAAAGATGAGGTAAGTACTGGGGAAGCAGTCGAATATGACGTACAGTGGTGTGATGATAGTTTGAAGTGAGAAGTCAACTGCCAGTTAATAGACTTTTTTGCCGTATGAGTATACGTTGCCCAGGATGCACCACGTGGAGGTAAGTCTATCGCACACCCCGTGGCTTGAATAATCTCCAGAGCCTTTGCCTACTTGGAGATCTTGTTATAGAATAGGTCGAGGAACTCACTTCATTCAATATTTTGGATTCAAATCCATAAATATTTGCCTCAAAAAAATCACTTTTCGTCTGTGATTATTGAGTAAATCCTTGTCCACAATGGTCAATTTTTCTTGTCAATTTGATGAGTTAGGATGGTAGCTCACACCACTCCAACCCATTTATTTGATTTCAAGGAAGTTGGGGGTTCCGATGAGACAAAAATTCATTAAAAAAACACACCACAGAGGTGCAGTTAACAGAATGAAAGAATTGGCGATCGTAGTATTTTAAGTTCGAGTAAGGAAATACGCCACTTGTTATATCAGGATATGGCTTGAAAACTTAATTTAGCCCAATTTTAAATAAATGAAGCGTATTTCAGGAAGAATGGGACAAAACCTCCCACGTCTTCACCAGGGCAACAGAAAGAGCAGCGGCAAAACCCGCTTCTGAACACAGTGTCGCAATAAAGAAATGCTCTATAGCTTGCCGAAAATCCACAAGTTTCTCAAGCAATTGGGGAAGGGGGGGGGATATGCAAAAAGATGGAATGTGTTCAGCAACGTGGAAGGCGGGTTTCTTTCCATCTTGTTTGCTGACTGAAGTTGACTTTGTCCCTTAGAAATTCACTCTTCACTGCATCGGCAGTTCCCACCAAACTTTATCTTCACCAACAAAGTGCATCATGATCTGCACCACTCCAGTGTTATTCCGACTTCAGGTATTCCAAGTTTGATCATCGGAAATATTTTCTTTCTTGTGTTAGTCAAATTTTTACAAATAGATCATTCAACACACTTCACTTCACTTTAATCAAAACATCTCACGCTGAAAATTTTACTTTGAGAAGGCAAACGATTTCTAAGAACATCGGTTTCCTCCCTACATGACGTGATACACCACCTCTCGCTTCAATTCCCATGAATCCACTTTTAATAGTTTAACTGATGTGGAATGTTTTTGTTGAAAGTGTCAACCGACCGTCTTGCCTGGTTTGTATTAGCCAAGGCCGTAAGCGTACTTTCTCTAATGGGCAATTTCTTTACACTTAACCTTAACGCGTAGCAATCAGATAACCTTGGTGCCTTTGGAGAAAGGTCGCAGTAGAAGATTGAATGTACTTCTGAACATGTTTTGTGGTCGCTCGTTAATTCTTAATTAAATACCCTGTCCTATCCACTTAATGGCCACCATTCCATCCTTTTACAAAACCACAAGCTATGCACGTGATGCCCTACTTTTTATCAGCCTTCTCCTAGTAAATCTCATGCACCACTCAACATTTAAACTCGAATAAAATTAATTAATACTTATTGCCATGCCATGACTATCTCCAAAATGCCGCAACGTAAGATTTAAAAAGCCGTCCAATATCCTATTGATGTAGCAAATATGAATTTTCTCTCAGTGTTTTACTATGTAAGGTGCTCATCAACGAGGATAGATAGAGCCCACGAATTCAATGCCCATCTGAGCACACTCAGTGAAGAAACGGTTAGGCCTTACTGTTACCATAGAGGCCCCACAACTCTACTCTACCCAAATGGTTTGTTAAGCGGACTTGGCAGATATTCACAGACTTCCAAGTATTAACGAATCAGAAGTAAGAACAAAAAACTGGAAAACAAAATTCAAAGTACCGCACCAAATCTTTTCAGCACCATTCTTATCAACATTAACCGCAGATGGAGGGAGAGATGAAGAGAGTAAGCGAAATGGAAAGAGGCGACATAAAGAGGTCAAATAAGAACCAATACGCCATCTAACAACACACCAAAAGAAGGAACACCACACTCACCCACACAAGCTGACAAAGTCCAGAGATTTACAGCACACAGAGAAGAAATATAGGTCATTGTGCTTTCTATAAGAGAGAGAGTAGAAAAGTCCTAAATGCGCAAGGATTTTGCCTTCAATGCGCTTCTTCAATTACAAGAAGGATACGTATGTGTATTATATCAGTGGTATATCAAGGGACAAAAGAAAAAGAAGGGGAAGGAAAACGAAAAGGGTGGGAAGAAATTGATGATATTTGAGAGAGAGAGAGAGAGAGAGAGAGAGAGACAAGACAAAAGAGGCGAGAGGGATAAGAGGAGAGGAAGTAACAGACACAATCGATAATCTGCAGCAGAGGCAGTGGTGATACCAGCAATGGCGTAACAACCAGCAAATCATCGCGCAGCTTGAGAAAGTGATTCATAGGCCTCCTTAGCGTAGAAAATGACATCGGCATCTGAGTCAGTACCTAACTTCTCTAGAGTCGGTTTCAATGATTTCTGCATTGATTCGGCGTCCAGGAAGGGAGCAAGTTTACCCAACACTTGAGCCACCTGATAAAAGAAAATTGAACGTATAAAGGGAAAAACAAGAGTAGAATTAAGACCAAGAAGTTAATCAATTCAGTCACGAAAAATGACCAGCTCCCGATATAGGAATTGTGCAGACCGACAGTCCACACTTCTGCTTCAGACGCACAATTGAAAATCAAACTCCCACTAGACTTGAATATTGAATGACAAAAGAAGCATAAAGGTGAAATCATTGTCTAGCAAGTTTGCCTAGCTAACACGGAGTATGGGCATGACTAATCGTGTGCAAATGCACTCGTTTGCGACTGGGTGATGCTGATTCGCCATCTCGTGTTCCAGTCTACGCGTAAGTGGGACGCTTTAAATAGCACGAATATCCTTAGCTAAATAATCAGAATATGTATTGCCTTGTACACACCGGATTAAAAACTAGAAATAACCAATCACTCCTCCAAATTCTTGCACTGCAAATGTGAGCACTTTCAAGCGCTGACATGCTAGTTAGTTAACAAGATTGAGAAAGTTAAGATGAACTCATAGCCACTCCAATATGTGGACCTCTGTATTCGGTTATTGAAAAATATCTCCACAAAGAGATTCGGAGCAAAAATATATCAAAGATTACGACAGATAATTCAATAATTAAATGACAAAAGTCAAAATAAATGCAAATCCCATGCAGGAACAGCAAGGCCTTCAAAAAAAGCTATACCTTGAATCGGACATTGGGAACAGCGTCGGAACTGAGATTAGTAATGGTTGGGAGAAGGCTGTTGGGAAGCATATCTGGATGACAGATTTCGGCTTCACCTAATTCACGGAGCGCCGCCAGGCAGATCATTCGATGAAGGTAATTGGAATCACTGGCAAGTTGGACCAACTACATGATAAGAAAATTAGAAATGGCATTAGACTGTGCGATAATCAGTATAGACCACACGTTAAAAAATTATTCTGGGCTCCTTCCTAACGCTAATACTGACGCCACATTGCGTCAGTATCTCAAAGATTGTTTGCCGTAAAAAAATTATAGGTAAGCAAGCAGTCACTCCAATACTGGTTAAATCTTTAACGACCAATTAACTTTTTTTAAATGCACGTCTTACAGCAGACCGATGCCGACGTGATGAGTTTTGGTGGTAACAAACGAAGGCCACAGACGTAGTGAACCTTTTTTAAACGACAATAGTGCCTTCCGTTACGAGTTTAGTATCAATGGAGCTTATTTTGAAGGAGGACCGTTAAAAGGTTAAGTAAAGCTCCTAGAGTTGATAAATTTATGAGTACTATCGAAGTTTCTGATTAAAAACAACAGGAGGAAAGCATACCTTGGATATCTTGAATCGAGATAAACTGACTTCCCAATTAGAATGCAATAAAAACAAATGAAATCCACAAAATCCATCCCTCAACTAAAAATGAAAGGGGGCATATAGAAAAAAACAAAGGGAACATAACCAGACACTAAACAGAAATGTTGCTACGTTGCCAACTCGCCAAACAACGGATTTTTATTGTCTAGAAATTTCCAAAAGGCGAGTTTTAGAGTTGAATTCGGACTTACAATGTAACGGATTGGATTTCTAAAAATCCCGCCAAAATGATTATTATTACTGCCACTTATTCTGTGACAATAAATTAACCGGAAATGTGGGAATCAACTAATTTTTAGTCGATTGAACACGAACACCAGTTAATTAAATAGAGAAATAACAAAACCAAGGTCGACCAAGTTTTAAATAAACTTCAGACACCAATTTATAGTTCGACAGCATCTTAAATTCCAAGTTTAGATATTTTCCCTTGGAAGAAAGACGTAAAAACGACCTATCGTGCGAACACTATGATTTATACCCCTGGTATAATAACCATATATGCTGACTTTATTCAACCTCTTCAGCAACATTTTTCTTCAATAATATAAAAGTAAGGCCTTTCAATATTAAACAGATCGGTATTACACATATATAGACAAATGACAGTAACTTCAAGTGTTTGATTTCTTGATGCTTAAACTTTTGAAATAGATTAAACTAGCAAATAGCTTGTCATCTTCAATCATAGCATTATGTGCTATGATACTAACTCCTTCAGAGATTGTTTAATTGGTTGAGAAGGGTGCAGATGATAAACCTAGACAAATATCCACAATTAGAGTACATAAACTCTCATGAAAGACTAAGCATCCACTCAGTAGATTATTATATTGGTTCACGAAACGATTATTAAATACAAGAAAGCTTAACAACTCAAGATGAATGGAATCGAAAAGGCACCTACCTTGGGAACAATCTGCGTAGTAGCCCATTCAATGCCGAACTTATCCATAAGATTGCGTAGATTCGCCACGGCAGCTTCACGAACAGCATAGACATGATCCACAAGCCAATTGAGGGAGAGGTTGGTCAGCTGTTCATTGAAGCACTGGATGCCCAACTGGGAAGCCAGAAGAGGCATATACTCAATGATAGCTAGACGCACGCGCCATTTTACATCTTCAGCTAACTCCACGATGGCCGGAAGAAGTGATTGGCTCAGTTGAGTGATGCCCATAACCTGATTCACGCACTCCAAATTGGAGATTATGTTCAAACGGACCTAAAAATGTTACTCGTGTGTCCAGTTAAATAGATCACTACACTGATTAGTTGCCCATTCTACTTCCATTCTCCGAAAAATAGATTATGAATTAAACACTCAAGTACACCTGGACTATAAATACTACATGTACTAGTTTATATATGCAGATCAGACCAGGTCATCATTACTGAAACACCAGCAACACCCATATAAAGAAATATTTTGTGCAAAAGCAATTCCGCCTAATGAACAAAAATTTTGCAGTCTGAGTACTGAAAACATCGGAACTAATCAATGGCCCGTTTTCCAATACCAGTGCTATTCTAGTTATTTCCAGATTTTGTTGCTGTAACCATGAGAATGGAATATGCGTGCAGAGAAAGAGCTGGCTAAAAAACCAAATAGCCTACTATGCTCTTTGAAAAACACGTGTAAATTGTCCATTTAAAAAAATTTAAATAATGACAAGATAAAAACAGACATTGAGGGTGTATACTAGTGCGAATGTTGGTATGAAGTATGAACTGGGAACATCATCAATCGAAATTCCTATTTGACAAAAACTGAAGACTAATAGTGCTGTACAAGACGCCACGAATCATGACGTGAGATAACTTTGGATTGTTAATTAAAACATTTCCGTGTTTCATCCGGATACAACAATGGAAGTAATAAATCCTTAGACCAATTTCGACAATGACTGATTTATAGAAATGCATTTTATAGACTGGCACAATGCCTTAAAATTTAGTTAAGCGACACTTGATGAAAAAGAATAGAATGGTTTAACGAAATAGTTTTACGCAAATCTCAGAGATTTGCCTACTATGGCGTGCAAATTGAACAAGAATAGCTTTCATCATAATTACTTAGTTCACTATGGTAGCATTTTAGTGAAAAGCTCACTGAGATTTGTATTCAAATTGGGCTTTTATGTTTACTGACTTGTTTTAACGAAATGATCTACAAGACCATGATGGAATTCATTTCGATAAATTTCCAGCCAAATTTGGTATTTAATCAAACTATTGGGAAACATGGGTTAGGATGGATCGTTGTAGTTAAAGCAGAGAAAAGTTTAACTATGAAGGTGACAACAGCAAACTCAGACCCTAAATACAACAGTAATTATGAGGAATCAAACGAATGCATCAACCGTCTTCATTCACTACTCTGAATCTAAACTCGATTAAGATTCGACCTCCACCAAGCGTGAAAATAGAAGATGCAGACAAGTCGAAAGACTAGATTGTCTGCCAAAATAAAGTAGAAAACGGAAGTCTTGAAAATAGCAACATTTCCTTTGACCTACGCCAGAAAATGCAAAACAGTGCACGAAAAGTCACGCAAACACGATATCAACAAATCCAAGTTCATTTGAAATGTACGACATTCACGTGCTATTTTCTACGCAACATTATTGAATATTTAGTAGGGAGATGGAGTTACAGCTGGCATTGGCGTCCAACATCAAAAGGAGACAGAAAGCAAGCGTGAAGGCAAATAAGAGGAATGGGGGGGGGGGGAGAGGGTGTGTGAAGTGCAGATTTTGTAAGCCAAACACAACCGTCTTCCCACATTGTTATGTTAAAATTAAGCTAACTTAAATACCCACAAATAGGTTTAACTCTAACAATGGACACTAACGTAACAAGGGAATTTTACGAAAGAGAAATGAGTCACAATGGGACAAAATGGCCATTGCCAAATAAGTGCCTCAGGGTGAAAACTTGATTAAATTAAATACAATTTAATTATAATGCTAGGATTAGCTAAGAACAATAAAGATTTCTAAGAATAACCAAACAGAAAATGGAATTACCTAATGAATAAATATTGAAAAATATGGATATAATTTCATCCAGGATTCGGGTGCCAAGCCATAAAAGCTTGAACATCAGGCTATTAAAAAGCAAAATATACACGACATAAAAGGGTGGGAAACATAATACCCCCATAACCAAAATAGGACTTTTTTCCTTTTACCTCACATTGATCTTCCCACCCAATTTCATACCTTATCGAGTTCCTTTATTTAGAAGAAATAAATGCGCGTAAATTAAATTGGAAAAAAGAGAATCATGTCCGTGAAAAATAAATCCCCATACATTATTTTTGTAAGCCCTCTCTATTAGCCTCTGAAGACCAAGTTGATATATCGCACACAAAAAAGCCATTGCTGAACATCAATTGAGGAATAGAGGAAACAAAGAACTCCTCAGTGAATCATTTTGCTTCTATCTACTTTCAATAAGACAAAGTGAAAAAATATTTATACACTTGATTTAAAACTTAAGTAATCAACTGATTTCAAAAGATCAACAAGGTTCTACTTACATCTGGATTCTCATCCTTGAGTTGAATAAGGAACATGGGCAAAAGGTGTTCCGTGGTATGTTCCTTCCCCAACAAGGGCGCAAGAGCCATAATGACACCAGCCAGGGCAGTCTTCACTTGCATATTCTGTTCTGTAACCATCTCGCGGATAATAGGCAGGAGGGTCTTCATGATTATTGACTCTCGAGAGTCGGGTGGAGAAAGAGCGGTTGCAAAGACCTTCAATTTACCTGCAGCTGCTGCACGCACCTCACCCTCGGCGTCCTTTAAGAGAGTCTACAAGATTGAAGGAAAACTAAAATGCTTGCTGCAAAATACTGTGGCTATGCGGCTTGTGTAGTTATGTGCACGTTTGCACTTATTTTGTGGTTCAACTGCATAATTTCACATATGTATTTTGCTATCGGTCTTATTGCTTATGTTAAGGAAACAAAATAGATGTACAATTTGCATAACGGCTTTCTAAAAGACGGGCTAGAATACGTCAGACCTAGCTAATAAATAAACAGGGATTAAAAGGATTAAGACAACTAAGAGACCCCATAAGAAGAAGCACAACCAAAAGCCTACACCGAATTTAAGACAGAAAATCGCAAAATAAAATGCCCTATTCAATAAAGAACATACCAATATCATAATCAATTGCATGCATTCTGAAATATTGTTAGCCTTACACTTGGAACATCTACATATCCAGCAGCAGAAAGCATCCCATAAATATTGTCATAGACTACTAGCAAGCAGCAGAAACTCATAAAGTGAATGAAGATTAAGGCATTCTAGTAGGAAGTTAGTATTGAGTGATGCACTTTAAAATAGAACAACAGAAGCACATTTCAAAACAAGCCACTAAATGGTAACCCTTTCTGGTGGTGCTCGTATTACCTAATTGATAGATAAATCGAGATGGTTGACAATTTGGCAAGCAAAGTAGCAAAATGGCAAAGGCGAGAGATTGTAGTCACATGGGCTCGATATGGGATAACCAAATCACTCTATGCGCGTTGGATGATTGTGTGATTTCATATATAACACCCCAATTGAAATATACAGTGAGATGAAATGTAGCACTGATTTAATATTCAGTTGTTACCAGCACGTTTTGCCAGGTGAATAGTTTGAGAATAATAAGTAAAACCAGGTTTACCAAACGTTTTCATAAGCACCATAGAATGAAAGCACATCCATTTTCAAAGACAAGATGGAACGTTAATAAAAAACTTAAACAAAACAAATTAAAGACATATTCAAACTGGTTAGTTTTGTGAATAGACAGTCTTTAATAAATGAGCGAAATTTCGAATCTTCATCAGTAAAAGCTATACAAAAAAGGTAAAGAACGCCCAGAATGACTCAAATGATGTAATTAAGCAACATTTCATGTTTATGTAATTATAGACAGTAAGTAGAAAAGAAGATCAGTTTTTAATTTAATTTATGCGAATTTGAAAACTGGGTAAATCAAACGAATTTACCAAGTTAGTTCCGATGAAATTAATTAAAAATGTGGAAAACAACGTTTATTGAAAATTGAACTTGTTTACATTTGTGGGCTTAAAATTGCATTCTAGAATAAAAAAACTAGACACCATGAAACAATAAAAACGCGCAGAGCAGTTCATGTGTTATTGAGGGCCAGAGAGTTCCCCAGTAAAGTCAAAAGGAAGGAAAGTTAAGGTGAAAGTGTCGTTCTTAGAAGGTAGGTTATTTAACTACAAATTGTAGGGAAGTTTTATGTAATTTAATGGTAACAATAAGATTATTCTGAGGATCAGATGAAACGAAATTCTCTTGATTTACTTCTCATGTCCTCATACACTTTAAGTCTGACCTTTCTCACCATTTCCACGAATTTACTCAGGATTACAAGGCCGTAAGTACTGTCGCACAATCTTATCAGACAGCCGAAATAGCAAAATCACATCGCCTTTCAAATATGAAGGAAGGAGTTCTCATTAAAGCCCCAAAAGGTAAAGTTGAGGCAATAATACTCAAGCAAACTTTTTTGGATAAGCCATTAAAGCCCCTTTAGAGAAGGAAATAGATTTGGATGAACAAGATGCCGACAAATCATACAACCTGAGTTTTCATCTACCGAACTTTATCGGTCTTCTTAGATTCCAAATTGTCATAGCATCTTACATATATTAAAATACGAAATTATTGGTCCATACAAGTCAAAATCACATAAGTGATGTAATGGGAGATAAAAATGAGCACAACACAGGGAATACCTAGTAAAGTCCAAAAATTAAATTAGAAATCTGAGACAATGACGACACAATTTCTAGTAAAACCGAAACCTGAAATGAAAGCAAATGAGGATGATAGAATGCTTTGGCGTATCTTCAAGCAAACAATTCGAAATAGGAATGCAAACAAATTTAAAAACGTCTAGTGGTGCATTAACAACCAATAGAGTAAACGAGGAAGTAAAATCCCGTAGAATCCATATTGCCAATCAATTTTGTTTAGATTGATACGGCCTCAAAGACGTGATGAATTTCTTTTCCCGCTTATATTATATATATATATATAACGTATACAAAAAAACGGACGAATAAATGAGTAATGATGCTGTTGCAAATTATATTAACTCAAAATCAAAGGGACCGATTAAGATAATCGTTTTTTGGGGAAATGAAAGAAAGGAAAAGTATATTCATTAATAACCCACAAAGGTAAATTAACTGAGTTGATATAGTTCATTACTCAATTTTCCCAAATGCATAATAAGGGCTTAATAATGAGACCAGATGTTAAAGCATGAATTCTGGAGCACAAGCACGTGATAAACTGAACTCTAATCATTAAGCAAACAACGGACAACCCGTGAATTTTAGGGTTAGAAGACCACTGATGAACTGGCTTTATTCTTTGAACCACTTAGTCTAAAAAACTCTTAACCTTACACCACCGTACGAGTGAGTTACAAGTTCCAAAACAATGGTTCTTACATGGCCACTAGTAATAGCGCAAAAGGATTGGACCATTACCTAAAATACCAATAGAGCAATAGATTTCCAAAATATTACTAGAAATATAAAGTTAATCTATGTAAAACGTAGCTTCAACCAAAATAAAAAAAACACCTCACGAGACTATAATCCAAATTTTCATTATAAACCTCAAAGTAAACGATTCCAAAATAAAACTAAAAAAAACCGAAATCGTCAAATAAAAGATTCAAAAGAATTTAGGAAATCGTAGCAACTTAGGTACTCAGATAGAAATTCATAAATTAATGCGCAATATAAGCGACAATGCAACAAAATTTAAATTAGACTAGACTGTCAAATACCTGATAAACATCCACGAGAAATTCATTGGTAACCATAGGCCCAACAGCTGACTGGAGATCAGTAAGACGATCAGCAAGCTGGTAACGAACACGCCAAGATTTGTCCTGCGCTGCCTCACGAACAAGAGGCATCAGGGACTTTTGTGCATCCTCTGTAGGAAGGGCTTCTGCAAAGGCAACACAAGCGTTGATGGCCAAAAGGCGAACGGAGTCCTGGTCATCTTTCTATAATAAAAAGAACAAACTGTTGGAACGCTGAAATCGATTTCAGTAGTTTAGCGACTTATAAGCAAATGGAGAAACCTGGATGATAGTAGCTAAAACTGGGAGAAACTCTGAACGCAACGTCTCCAGATCCAAGCAAACGGCCATTTCACCCAGATTGATGGCTGCAGAACGACGAACCATGGGTGTGTCGTCGGCACACAACTGACGGAACTGATTGCGCAATTCCACTTGCGTGTTAGCTGATGCACGTTTGTAGACAGCAGAGTATAGACCACAGGCAGAAATGCGGCTGGTGAACCAATCAGCCGTTGCCAAACGCTCAATCATTGGGATAAAGTGGGCTTCCAAATCCTAGACAAAGCAAGGAAGAGCTGAATGCAAGATAACGCTTAAAGGCTGAAATACGCACAGTGTATTATCTAGTTATTCGCTTGCTGTACTTAAAGAAAATTAAAATTCATCCAATAACAATTCCGAAAAACCCACTACATCTTAGAGAATGGTGAACTAAGCTCAGAAATTTGCTTCAAAGTTGGCAGAAATTTCAAATCAATGCGTAACAATAATTGAAAAATGTAAATGACAATGCACCAAATAGGTGACGTAAATATGACATTGTGAATTCGAGGTCGATAACCACAAAGAAATCACGAATAGTAAGAAAACATTGCATTTAATAAGCTAATCTATTTTACGAAACATTGTAGAAATAGGCAGTCCGAAAAATAAACTAAACAGACGTAAAAATCAATTACCACTATTAGAATAATAGCTAAGATTTCAATAAAAACATCGAAAGATAAACAAGTAAGAATGCAACAAGTATGCATAACAAATAAATTGCGTTCATAGTCTACAGGTTTCTTCACGGATTACATAAAAAATGTCTTCACAGCCAAGCGGAGACCCGCAAATTATTCCTTAACAAGTAAAAATAAAGGTACGTTTACAAAATACGGCAAGGGATGATTATCACATAATGTAAAATCATTTATAACGCAAATCTGAAAACGACACTATAGAAAACGATTCAAGGGGACTGAAACAGTTATACTAACGTAATTCATAAAAACAAAACATAAAAAGGTGGCAAAGATCTCGAAAGAAATCTACTAAGCCGATGAACAATTCTTTTCATGTGCGGAAAACAATGCTTATATCTTCCCCCTCAAGTAACTGACATAGTATGAAATGCCAATTGGAGCTAAATGAAAAACAAAACGCGATAAGCTTTAAAGAAATAAATTGAATTTGCTTTCTCCGAATACCTTATCAGAAAAGCTTCCAGCAAGAAACCGAAGAGTATCCACGGCCTTTTGTCTGACGACAGTTTCTTCTGTGGAAGCGAGGCCTTCAAGCGGAGGTAGAAGACAAGAGACGTGTTCAGTGCCACCGACAAGGGGAACAAATTTGCTCAATTGGTCAGCAAGTTCGCACAGAATTTCATCTTCGTCATAAATTGATTCTGTAAGGAAGGGTATAAATTCCTCCCGAGTGCGTTTAGGCTCAAGAGCCAATGCAATGGTAGAAAGCTTTTTAAAACTAGCAAGACGAGTTGAAACATCATCGTTTTTCAATTCGTCAATGAGAATCGCGATAGGAAAGAGGTTCTCCTCCTCCTGTTGCAACTCCGTCATTTCCTGATCTAAAACAATCATATATTAAAACTATTTGTCAATCAAAAATATTGTTCACAAATTCAGTTGAATTACCAATAAATAGAACATGTCAAAAACAAAGGATTCACTTAATTGCATCTTAACTATATACAAGTTTTTATGAAGACAAATACGTATAAAAATTGTCAAAATATATTATTTAGAACCCATTGAATAAAAATTTTAACGTCTAGTTGGCATTGATGGCCGGAAAAATACCTTCAATATTTTGGCCGTTAATTTTTGGATAGCCCGCGAATACGCGCTTTCAAATAAATGTGCCTCAACCAAATCGATATATGCAAACAATTTAGACATTTAAATTCTGGAAATATAAGTAGAACTCCGTATATAGCTATGTCAATATTTTAAAATATAATTAAAAGTCATTGACTGATTTCTTTCATAAATTGCTATTTAAATTATTTTTTCTGATGCTTTTTAATAAATCTTGACAAATTGACAAAGTATTGCAGTTTATACGTATAGTTAGCATATTATTTTTTTGCAATAAATAAACATGCATTTATATTATATTCTAAAGTCCTTTATCTTATTTTATATAGGTAGTAGTCTCGAAGATCATTATGCTGTCTTATTACGACATAGTATGAACATAAAAATTATTATTAAAAATGATCTTAACTTGAATTGCCATAGTGGTTTTCATTCATTTATTTATCAGACATTTAACCGCCCTTCTGAAATAACAATTGTTTTATGATTTCCCTTACCTTTACTCTACCAATGCAGCTTTATTTGAAGCCTATGCTTACGTGGATCAGAATTGCATAGTGTGTTTGTCGAAATGGTAAGTTCTATGATAAGTTAAAAAACAAATACTTACAGTTTAGGGCAATCATTCTTCCAATATATCGTTTATTTAATAAAGGGCGGCGCAATGGAAAGCTTTCCGTTCATCGAATGTGTATTGTTTATAAAATAATTCGATTCAAATGTACGAAATATATGGTCAGCATTCGTCATGTGCGGCCCCGTTATTATATTTTGTAAAATCAAAATTGTACTTTCTTGCAAGAATTATTTTAGACTAACATAATTTAGTGATATGATTGAATATGATTCAAGATATGTCCGAATATAATGCATTATAAACGTCATTTATGTTGATATACTGCATGCTTTTGTGATTTGAGTAACTCCGATATAGACTAGAATTCCGAACCAGATAACATACAAAATTACTTCTTGTTGAGTCATATAGTGTCTGTTGTTGTGCCTTATGTACTGATGCCACGAATTTTGTTGACGTTATCTACTCTTCGTTGTGAAGTTGTGTAACCATATATTAGAATAATGGGTGTGCGATTGTTTTACCACCACGTGGTGCTCCCTGGGCAACGTATACTTATACGGCAAGAAAGTCTATTAACTAACAGTTGACTCCTGACTTTAAACTACAATGACCCCACTGTATTGCATATTCTATCCCTTCCACAGAACTCATCTTATCTTTTTTTCTGCATTTGTGTCTGATTGTCTCTTACATCTTTGAATCTTTCTTCTGCTCCTCCTCTCGAATTTTTCTCACTTTGATGTTCCTCCTCCTCTCTATGAAGCCCGAAGTTAGCTAAAGGTCTAATGAAAACTATTAAAACGCCTGCCATTTGAAATAAATAAATAAATATTAGAATAGAGAAAAATTGGTTAATTAAGATACGAACAGCAGATCCGTGGGAAAGTGTTGGAAAAATATGCAAATGGCAGTTAAATCTGTAAAATTTTTTCATAAGTTTCCAAATAAAATAGATAACCAAATGCTTTATTGCCAACTGAGGGAAAAATGGGAAAACATATTGGGAGGGGGGGGGGGGGGGGGGGGTTAGAGAGCATAAAGTGCGAAATTGTAGTTGAGGAAACAAAAATGTGACATATCAAAGTTATTATTGTGGATCGATAGAATATTTTTACAATTTCTATTATAATTTTTAGAATCATTTTCAATTAGTAGTGCAATTATGAAATTTTTGAATATAGAAGTGTTCTAAAAATGGTTTTATTTGGGTGTATTTTTTTATATATTTATTTGACAAATTACCAATGAAATCATGACATAAGGTAAATGAGCAAAGTAGTGCTTGTTGGAAGGAAAAAAATCAATGATTTATTATAGATTACCAAAAATTTCATTCATTTTTTATTCAATGTCAAAACTAGGACTACTTCAAAGTGTCAAGTGCACTTAGCTAATATCCTTTTCTTTATTGATATTACTTTATTATGTATATTCAATCACAGACGCAGCACAAAACAGCCATTAATAATCGGATTGCCTTGCACAAGATTTCAGATGTGACCCAAATATATTTGTCACCTCTAGTGGATAATAAAGACGGGATTAATGTTATTTTCCAGATTAGAGTCATTGTAGATGTATGAAATAAAAATTAAGTTACGGATTAGAAATATAATTAAGGTTATACAAAAAACTTGTAGATATTTAAATTATGTTGAAATTTGATTTATTTGTTTGTTTGTTCTACATAATGTTTAAAAGGTTGCTGGCGGCGCTTCTGCGTGTTATCGCAATTTATCTGGCGTTTATTTGTGATGGTCTAGACATTTTCCTGATCACCCATACAATATTTTCATTATTAATGTCATAAATGGGCAACCAATCAAGTGTACAATCTCCGACTGATATGATTGTCCCGCGATCTTTTATGATGCCAAGGCGTTCTAGAATAGGAAATAGTGCTTCTCAGTCTGCAAATTCTCATACTAAGCCTTCTAAAAATGTAATAATTGTTTCAAAGCTCTATCATATACCAATATTTTGTCATTGACTTGTAATCACTTTTGCTTTGCACCTATAACATATAAAGAAAGTTCTTTAATAATTTTTATGTCGCAGCATAGCTTCTTTCACACTATTCACCTTCTCATTTTTCTAATCTTGACATCGTGACAGTTTTTATTCCTATATTTACATTTATAACATATATTCTTTTAGAAACAAATGGCATATGATCCTTCTGTTAGTAATTCCCAATCCTCTCCTCACAAAGTTGCGTATGGTACTTCTACTTATGCTTCCCGACCAATTCAAATTCCGCCGTACACATCTAATCCCGCCCCACAATCAACACTCTCTCAGACAATCACTCAGCCCCCAGGGGCAAAATCCTCGATGGCCAACAATTTATCTGGTGGTACTGGAAACCAAATGGCTCCACCTGTCCGTCCTATTCCACTCACTAGATCACTTCCGGATTCTTCACAGCCTCTTCTACCATCTCTGTCTTTTCATCAATCCAGCGCAGATACTTATCGACGAAGGAGTCAAAAATATGTTGCCCTTCATGATTACACGGCACGGGTCGAAGATGACCTCTCTATGTTGAAGGGCCAACATTTCTACATAATTGACCGATCACAAGGCTATTGGTGGTATGTCAAGTGTGGAGTTACGGGGAAGGTCGGATATGTTCCATTTAACTACTTAGCACCCGTTACAAGTCTTGAGTCAAATGAGTACGTCTACCATCCAATTGTTTTAAAGAATCTGTTTCTTATTTCTGTAAAACCACTTTTTACCCCTAAATGAAAGGTACATATTTGATACTCATTTACATTTTTCTTTATTAGAAGTCTACTGGGTATGAAAGTTCACGTATTTCTGATTATCTTAAGCGTCAGTTGCTAGGTTGTCAAAAGATAGGATTAGGCTACTCAAAGAAGGATGATTCCTTGATTTCAATGAGGGATAAACACGCTTGATCTCCTTTAATGCCAAATTTCCCACCGCCCCTCGATTGATCAGTTTTAATCACAATATGTTTTATCACTAGCCATGGTTACATTTGACTTTTCATATGTGCACGATGTCACTTGGAGCAATTTAGAGACCACTATCCATTTTATTATTTAACTAAAATACATAAAAAAATCAATTATTTAAGTGCGATTTAAGGATATTCTTTATTTAATTTGAGGTGGCACTTTGGCGATATGCGTCGTTTAGAGGCGGAGAATTGTTTGATGATGCCTGGCAACGGTCATGGCTCATTCCTTGTTCGAGTCAGCGAATCTAGGAGTGGAGCATTTTCTTTATCAGGTGAGCAATTTTAATAATTAGAATTTACTGCTGCGTCCAAGATTCGGCGATCGTGATAATATTTTTTTTCAAACGAATTATTAATTTTTTTAATTACCCTCGCTTACAATAATTACCTCCTTTTCATCTAATTTTTCCATTTTAATGTAATTTTGTGCATTCCTTGGATTAAGAACAAAAAGTCCATTAATTTGTATGTTTAATTAATGCACAATTGCGTTTAAATTCCTACAATTTCAACAATTTATTTGAAATGCCTAATTGTAATTAATTAAACCAGAATTTAATTGTTGCCAATTAAGGGAAGTTAGCTCAAAGCTCTTATTTAGCACTTTCTCCCCATTTCATTTTCCAGCCAAAATCTCACCACAAGATCTCAATCATTGGGCATCTCTTCAAGGAAATCAGATTAACCAATCACCTTATCGAATAGTGAACACCCACTTTCTCCTCTCGGCTTTTTTTCATCATTCTTTCTACATTTACCCTGTTCTGGTGTTTGTTTAAAATGAATTCATTAATTTCCACGTCAGATATATGATTTTTCCTTTCACATTCTGCTACTAGGGCGACGCCTTAGCGTGACCAGTGTATAGTTGCATGATCAGAAAATATGTCCTCCTCTTATTGGCTATGAAATCACGAAAATGAGGATTAAGCACATTTAAAGGCTCTTCTTCAATCGGCGCAAGTTTGTGCTTAATCAACGACTCAGTTTCCTCTTAATTGACCACTCTGAAAGCTAAATTTGGGGAGTGAAAAGCTGAACCGAGGGGTGGTAGGCGGCATGCAATTGATATTGACTTACTTTGTGTTCGCAACATTGCTAAATAGATACTTATGGCTAATTTTTAAAATTTCGATACAATTTACTACTCAAACAAATGTCTCTAGAAGCTCAATTTCTCACTTCAAGGGAAATCAGGCATAAACTGGGAAGCGAAATAGCATCATTTTTGTGTGAATGTTAGTGGAAACGAAAACGAAGCTTTTGCATTATCGATGGAATCGCTATTTCTCTGACGTGTTCAAAATGTCATCCATCAGATGGCATCCATAGTGTTGTTGTGATTATTAAACTCGAAGTTGGCATTTTCCTTTTTTTGGGAATTTAATTTGAAAAAGTAGAAATCACATTCTTAGTTGTCTAAATCAGCTCAACATTTTCATTTTATTATAATAAAGTTGACGATTTATAGGAAGGCGATATTTGATTATCGGTGGGTTTGCTTTCCTGAGCTGATCAAAATGGCGAACTTGTGATGGTCTTTTTTTATTGCCTTTGCGTAGTTAATTAGGCTATTATCTTTTACCTCACTATTGTGAATGAAATTCTTGAAGGTGAGGTTTTGCTCACTCTATTTGTTAAAATTTGAATTTGCCTTCTTGCGATTAAAAGAGTTCAATGGAGCTCTATTACGATTATCCGTTTTGAAGTTCAACAGAATCACCTCTTTTCCTTGAAGTTACGTTAAAAATCTTTTTTTGCGATAAATTGTTTTCTTGTGAAGAGGATTTTTTCAAACACCTCTAGCTGCTAGATTGTTGGAAGTTTCTCAAACCGAACAGAACAGAACGTCTTATTTGGATGGTCAATTTGCAGAATTAATTTTATCTGATCTATGTTACTAAGTAAACCCAAATTTTAGATCATAATGCTGTTTGTGGGTAGCCATCTTCTATTCTCTATTTTAAATAATGAGCACTGCATTAAAGCGAAATGAAATTAAATTAGCATGTTTTTATATTAATATAAACAGGTATTTTTCTCCTTCTAAAGTCAATTTTGAATAAGGGAATTGTGAGTTTTCAAACATGCAGAAATATTTTAGAGCTGTAAGTACTGTTAAATGGAATTCAAACAATTCAAAAGCTCCTCTGTCTTGTTATTTTTAAATATTTTTAATGGCTGGCTCAACTTATTAGGAGAGAATTAAGGAAGTGTGTAATTTTTTTCTGTTTTTGCATTTTTTATTAGAAATTCTTTTCTACCATGAAGGCAATTGAGCATATTCAGAGGGGGTGGGGGAGGAAGGCTTTGGAGCATTGGTTACATTTACCTTGAGAGAAGTTGGTTGAAGATAAATGTTGTCATCTAGAAACCCTTTAATGCGGTACGCTATTTCCTTATCAACAATGGTTCTTTTAATTCTGAATGTGTCTTTATCATAGATTATTCTTTGTGTATCAACATAAGAACCTACAAGTTATCATTATTTGAATAAATCAGTCGCACATTGAAGTTCATAATTTGAATTTTTGTTCCTGAAATAACATGCTTTATGAGAGTTTAATTTTTAAGAAGGTCTGGAATTTTATTAAGGAATGACTACTTAATTCATTCTTTCAAGAGATGCAAACGGGCTTCTAAAAAAATCGAAATATTCGATACCTCAAAACTACCGCCACATTTGTATTGTCTTTCCTTTGAGTGAAATATAACTCAGTGGAAAATAACTAAAAATGGTCGAAGCTGAATCGATTCATCTTGTTCTTCAAGTCCTACTTAATTACTTCTGAGGTAGAGGGTATTCAAAAATGGGAAATCATCTTGCGCTTAATTTAAAAGAAATCAATCACTGAAAGTTGTTCTTACAAATTTTGCCGAGACTCGCTTTTGTGCAACGGCTATCTCGTAGATAGTGTCACTGCTCCTGTCAATGTCTAAGCCTATCAAGAAAATTAGGATAATCTTGTTTAAAAATATATTCAGCTCAACACACTCTCACTCTTCTTTGCCTGAGAATCTGCGGATGGTTACTCATTTAGTCTCAAAATTTAAATCTAGTTTGGTCCTTTTCCCTCTAAATAACTGTGATATTCGTTTTCCTGTCAGTGTACTTCTACGAATTCATCATTTGCCAGAGGTTAAATTGGTTTTGATTTCTCTTCTTCAACTTGTTTCCTACTGAAAATTGATATATAATTTTTACCTATTTTATTTGATTATAATTTGAATTTCATTGTAGTTTCAGTTGATTTAGCTAAACTAAACGACCGTACTAAATGTTCACTTTAGATGACGTTACTGTTTAGAGCGTCTAGTTGACACGAATGCTATTTATTTGGTTAGTCTAATCATTCTTCCTCAATTTAGTTCGAGATGGGGACGTTGTAAAACACTATCGGATTCGTTCCCGACCTTCTAGAACAAATCCCGAGATTCATCGTTTCTTCATTTCTCGTCAGCTACCCTTCTCCAGTGTCCAATCCCTCGTTGAACACTACACGAAGAATCAATCTGGTCTGTGCTGCCAATTGACTTCTCCTTGCATCAAGGTGACTATTTTTTATTCATATTTCTGAAGTCAAGTTATGGGAAACTTAACGATTTTGTGATTCACTTAACCACAAAAAGACAGTGTCATCAATTGGTATATTGTGAATAGCCCGTTTTGGGTAACCAATTATGAGAGGTCTACGGTAAGTTCCACATAGGATTACTCACCTATTCTGAAAGAATCATATCTATTCTACTGTGTTGTCCCTAAGGCCAAGGTGAGAGTATTTAAAGTCTTTTTCGAAAGTCGAAAGATGCTATTGTGATGGTCATTTCGTTTTGGCCGCTTCTTACTTATGGGCAAAATTGGCGCTGCTTAAGGAGGACAACAATTAAACAAATCCTACTCTAGGATATTTTGTTCAATATTCTTCTTTGAAACAAAGCTAAAGTGTAAAAAAAGATAATCAATAGTAAATGTAAGAATTTATTTGCCAATTTCTTAGTTTTAATTTAATAATTTACTTTATCTTAGATTTTTCTTTAATTAATTTAATTTTGTGAATAAGAGGTGGTACTAATAGGATGTATGCGTTTTTGAATGTGAACATTGCATCTCACCAAGATTAACACCACACGTGTATTGTGTATTATCTCAGCCAGCCTCATTCGCTGTTAATCAGCTTCCAAGTTCCACCTGAACCCAAATTATTCTTCTGAACACGCGAAAAGCTCCAAGACTCCATAAATCGTATTACTAAGAGTTAGATTAGTAAGTAAATCCTTTTCGGTTTGCATACATGAATACGTAAATATACTTTTTTGATAAGTGGTGGTGGGGTGGGGGGGGGGGGGGGGGGGGGGGGGGGGGGTTAAAGAGTACTTTTTCGTAAGTGAAAATATCTTTGCTAATATCAATATTCTTTATTAGTAATTCTACTATCAGTTAATAGTGAAAATGGAAAATGGTAGGATATTATTTAACAAACTATAACCACAATGCATCCTGAAACTAAACGAATTTAACTTTTCCATGATCTGTTTCTATATAAATGAAGTTTGCCGCTCTTTCCTCATTTAAATGTGAACTTTCCTTAGCAGTTTATGATTCGTAGATTACTGACAGCGCTATTCAAAATAAATCTACGCGGGCACAGAATGGTAAAATAAGGCGCTGTAAGTTCGTCTCTCCTTTCTGAATTTGACCCTAACTTTCTCGAATGGGGGGGGGGGGAGAAAGTGTTCACAATCGCGATGTTTAGAATTGATTGTCCAATTGCCAGGTTGAAAAGTGTTCTATGAAACGATCATTTTTAACAAAAAAAGGAGCTTTTGCATTCGTTCATGTGGAATTCTTAAATTAATTGATTCGGATATCTGGTCAGTTATCTTTATGGCAAGATCTCCTCGTTTGGAATGGTTCCCAGGACTAGTTACTAGCTTCAGCAAAGCTACGGCAGAAACAGACATAAAACGTGGAACACATTTATTTGGGATGTTTGATTGTCACAGAGCTTAGTCATTAAGATTACAATTAAGGGTTTGCTAAACAATGGCAATGCAGAGACTATTGATTGGTAGCTGGTTGAGCGGTCTCTGCTCTCATGACTACATTTGCTCCCTACGTGACAAGTAGCACAGCCACAACTTCGAGTTTTTTTGAGTTCGCATAAAATTTCTTTTTTTCAGCTATGGCAACGTGCACTTCACAATACACAATTCACGCATACAACTTCGGAGATATAGTATATTTCGGTAACTTTAGTCAGCACAAAATAATGCATAAGAATGACACAGGCAAAATAGAGCACAATTTCCTCGTTATTGTCTTTGTTTGTATTTTTTCCCTTCAAACGAAGATCATAGTCGCCTCGATCTGCCAACTTGCCAACGCTGTCTATCCATGCCGCGTTCAGGTCATATGCATAAACAAGTTAAAGTACAGTAATGTGATATGAAGAATGTGTGTTGGCACATTTGCAAAAGGCCGCCTGCCAAGACCTGTAGAGAAATTAAATTGTTCTGCATTGTTTATTATTCTTGTAATTTCATTAAATGACAGGAATTTGAGGTATTAGTGTATTTTTTATTAATCTTTTTAATCCCCTTAAATTCAATTCCACGCGGTCTGTTTGACTAAAATGACCAACTATTAACTTCAAACAGGTACACAGGGAAAAATTGCGACAATTAATGGAGGTTCGCCTTTCTAAATAGTGTAGATTCTTCTCGAGTTAAAATTGTAATTAGTGCTTTGTCCTTACGCTTTTCATGGTCTTGAGGCGTTTGGAGGCTTGAATTTCTATCAATCTTAGGACAGTTGGACTGTTTGAGGGTTTTATTTCAAGAAGGCCGAGTAATATTCATTTGCTTTCCCATGATCCGTTCAGTGACAGAGGCGAGTGCAAGTTTGCGCCGTTGGGGGGAGAGAGAGGGTGGAGGGGACTTCTGAAAAGTTAAAGTTCGCGGGTTCAATGCGCGTTGGAGCACTTCCTATGATCGGAACGGCCAACCAAATCGACTATATTTATGGGGTTAATGTAATTTGAATTTCACACCTCGTAAGCTCCGCTTACCCACGATGAGCGTTTGGAAAGTCACTCTCCTATATAACGCGGGGAATTGTTATTATGAACCAAGATTTGTAGATTGTACGAAGCAAACAGCGTTAGGTGTACTCACTTCTCAAATAATATTTCGTTAAGACATTTTTCTTAATCATGCGTGCAATGAGGAAATTTTTTGCACACTGTGCTGAAGTCTGCGTTACACAGAGGAGGAGCTCGATTACAATTTGTTATGAATCACTCAGGACTGCACTATGCCTTACTTATTCTTTAAGATCGTCCTTGTATTGATCTGAGCATGGCCTTCTGCAATAATCCAGCCAAATTGGCTTGGGGTCTTCATAATGCACCAATAACTTAGCACGTTCTTGAGCATTTACTCTCATTATTTAGATTTTAACTCATAAGATATTTTTCAAGATAGTTTACATTTTTGGTCAAATGACTTTCCTTGAACCTATTTAATTTCACTTTGTTTTATTGGCAGGAAATCACATTGTTTTCTCGCTAATCTTGTTGGCCCTGAGAATCCCTGACCTATGTGATTATAGCAGTATTCACACTAAACTCATGTGAATTTGTTCAACTAGAAGAATTAAGACCAAAAGGAGTAATAAGTACGCATTTATCACCCCCGAAATGTCAATTGTACGTGCGATCAATTAAAAGTAATGCCTACGACTAATCGCAGATTAAGCTGATTAAATGCTGTTACCTTACTCATTCAAGCTCAAGATATATCTAATTTGATTAATTTGTCCAAGTATAATAAGTATGAGTTTTTGACTAATAGTTGGTATCTTATTGTCCATTTTTTCCTTTAAATGGAAATCGAATGTCACGTATGTGGCCTTGACATTTTATAATAATTTAATTACTAGCAATATGATACCTTAGATGATCTCATTTAAGGAAATAAGAAAATGGTATCAGTGGGCAAACTGAGATTTCCCATTTGGACGTTTATTATACGATGGCAATTGTCTTGAACTGCGTTTGTTCTTTCTCATGTTTTGTTCGAAGTGATTCCCTTATCGATTACTATCCGTTTTAGTGCCTTCTTCATATAACATGACTCATTAACCTCCTGTATGCTCTTTATCAACTTGCACTCTATCGAAGACCTATATTAGGAGTTCCATTTCCCACAGAATCGCGTTTTCAGCTCACTGACTTCAAGGTTGTTGCTTACTCTCTGCTCTTCCCAAGTAAAGTGTCCCTTAACCATCGCTGTCGCCCTCTTGAAAAAGTTGTAGTACATGTATTTGAAAAGGCTACTAATTTGAATTCCCCTATCTATATCATCCAAGTTATCGATGCATGAAAAGGCTATTACCAAAGTGGTTAAATTTCAGGTCCAGTCATGCAAAGTCCTAACCTACTGTTCCAACTAGGTTAAAAATATGCGCCTGAATGGTTTGGCTCAAATTGAATAGCGGTAAAAACTTAATGTCAAATGATTCTTTTTCACAGTTTTGCGTTTTTTTTACAAGGCATTATTAATTCTTTTTCCAACAGAAATCTTTTTCAATTTGATCCCTAGATTAGAATTCAGTTGGTTTTAGTGCTCCAATGCATGCTTTTTTTTAACAAATTGAATCATAGGGCAATATTTACTTTATTTATTCTCTATCCTATCTATGCCTCTAATCAAAACAGACTCAAAAGTCACTGCGCCAAGAGAAAACACTGTGCTCACTGTGTGCTGCAGAGTTCTGCGTGATGGTATATTTGCTCTTTCCTTGCTCACTTATTTTCGCTGTCAATATTTGCATAGTATTTGCATTCACTACGCATTAGTTCTCCACACTCAAACACCCACTCTCTTAGCCAAGCGAGGCGTAGATATGTTCGATCACAATCATCTCAACACACACACACACACACAAATACTCGTTCACCCTCCACTCCCCCCCCCCACCTCCGTGGCTTTTGTTTCGCCTTCATAAACATTATCATTAAAGGCAATTGCTACGCCCTTCCCGTTTAAACTAAGTAATTGTCTTTATTTTAGTAAGAGTCGCAGAAGACGTCTAAGAGAGGCCATGTCTTGATTTAGTCACGCCTTAGTTTACTGTGTTTGTTACAACTGTTTAACTAAACAACTTGTTTGAATAATGGTGAGGGAAGAGGTCAGTAATTCTCAAGTCATTGGAGATGCGAGCATCATAGTTGTGTGTATAGTGAGAACAGCTAAGACGATCTTTGCATCACCTTTATGTTAATCAAACTATTTGCCTTCCTGGTCAAAGTACTTTATTTTTCTACAACAGAAAATAAGAAAAATATCCGAGAATTAAATACGAATGCTCTTCATTTAAAAGGAAAACATTTGTATTGATTTATAAAGTGGGGATTAATCTCTGGATGTGGTTGAGAACATATTTATTTATTTATATCAAATGGCGGGCGTTCTGATAGTTATCATTAGCCTTTTAGTTGACTTCAGGCTTCACAGAGGGGAAGGAACATCAAAGTGAAAAAATCGAGAGGGCGGAGGGGGCAGAAGAGGGTTTCAAAGACGAAGGTAGATAAGGTGGAAAAAGGTGAGGTGAGTACTGTGGAAGTAGTCGAATATGGCATACAGTGGGATTATGGCAGCTTGAAGTCAGAAGTCAACTGCCCATTGATAGACTTTTTGCGCTATGAATATACGTTGCCCAGGGTGCACCACGTGGAGGTAAGTCTATCGCACACCCCTGGTTGAGAACATACGGAGCACTAACCAGGATGATATCTACAGTGTGAGCAGTCGTCATGGTTATTATTCCAAAGGCCCCTCTTAATCACCATCCACACCTGTCATGACCCACTAATTTCAGTTTAGTTGAATTTATTTGATAGTTGCGGTTACGTAGTCCATTTTGAATATAGTTTATTGATGGACCTTTGCCATGAAATTGTTTCGATTTTAACAAAAAAATAAAAAAAAATGTACTGAATTTATTTTTCTTGTCTAGTGCATGCTAGCAATTTTTTTGTGGATCGTCACTTGTAACTTTGTAACGGATCCTGATAAACTTACGCAAATAAATTTGATGAGTCGATACTTGGACTTTAATACCGTTTAAAATGAATATTTTCTCAAATCATAATTAGCGAAAACCAGCGAATAAACAAAGGATTATTAAAAATACGTCACCAAAATTGAGTATTGATTGCGTCAATTTCCGCGCTTTTAAAGATTGGGTGTAATTCGCTGTATGTAATGTCCCCATGGTCATCCAGGCTAATTTCGATGTTAGGTTCTCTCTAAATACTTTGCAAATGCTTTTCTTATATCCTGCATAGCCCCCTCTCCCTGAATTCCTCACCAGATATGATGGTTTTCTTTAAACCTTTTAGCCCTCTCAACCCGTACCTGTTGGTCTTTCACACAACACTGTCGATAAATGGGAGATACCTAAATCCTCCATAGTCTTGAAGGAACGTATAGGCAAGGGGCAATTCGGTGAAGTCTACAGAGCGGTATGGAATGATACAACTTTGGTGGCTGTTAAAACTCTTCGAGCGAGTAAGTAAACCCAATGTGCAATGTATGTATGCAATGCTTATTTGAACTGTTTACTTGGATTTGTAAACAATAGTACATGAGCATGAATTTCTTAAATGAAATGTGTGATTGTATTTTAGTTTGCAAAACTAAAACAGATAATTTGCACCAAATGAAATAGGCTCGTCTTTATGAAAATCGATGTGAGACGTAAGCAGCTGTTTTAATGTGAGCACATCCATGGAAAATCGATACGAACGAAATTGAACAAAAACACTGTAACAGACTTACTGTGATCAATCTATTGACTATCGAAAACACACTTTCATTGTGTTTTTTTAATCGGAATTTTGCGAGAATTTCTTATTGACAAATTTCTGATTGAGCTTCTAAACTAAATTAAATATTGTATTCTTTAATCAAAATCAATTACAACTTTACCCTATTCAAATCTTTCCTTTTTTTACTTCAAACGTATTGGCCACTACGAAAGGCGTGCAAAAAAATCCTTCTTTCGAAACGACAAATGCCAAGGTCAAAGTTGCCCTCTTTAGTTAGTCTTTATGCGTTCCGATAGTTTTATTGGTAAACCAATCTCCCCCCGAATGATTCATCCATATTTGCCCAATTTGTGTGGAGCTATTTTTAGTATCGAAATTTCCTCTACCTAAATCTCATCTCCCACCATCCCTCCCTCTCTACCCTGCACGCGGATGCATTTGCTGCAACAAGAATTGAACTGCGTTCTTTGCTTCGTGTTAAAGAAAGAAAGAAAAAAGAAGATAAGTGGCAGAGCAAGAGAAAAGGCTGACAACTTTGTGTTGGTGCTTTTCTCAAAGACTGCATAATTGCCCTTTGCCTTAAAGTAGTTTAAGTCAATATTTCATTAAGTTATTTTACTTTTATTTGTCCTCTTTTTGGTTTCACAGTTGTGGGGAGAAAATTATTTGTACTGCCTGCACATTTTGCTTCCCACTAGGAATTTAATGTGTTGCTCTGACAATTTAAATTGAGCTGCAATTTTCATAATTATTCATGACAAAGCCAACGTAATTCAATTTTCCCCATTGCTAAGTCTCTATAAGAGGTAGAAAATCAAATTAGAGCAGGAAGCTGTTAATTCGAATTCTCTATGTACTCCATTTTTACCTGAGGAACATAACTCTTATTTTTACAAATTGAGGAATTTGGTTTTCAGGTTGCTGAGTTTATATCTGCAATGCGCCTTTCTTTGTTCTTGAAATTCGGATTTCGATGCTTTGTTCTGCATAATACCCTTCAAGTATACTATTAAAGGGAAAGCAATATTGCTTTCTTCTTAATTCCATTCTAACGGTGCAGCTATTGTCATTTTTCGAGTGAATTGAAAGCCTTATTTGGCTCTGACAAATAAAAGAAGTAATTTGCCAGAGGCTTGTGGGGGGGGGGGG